CCAAAATATAATTGATCATAGAAATATCCTATATTACATACTGTATAGAACTAAATCACGGAGTACATCAGTTTAATCTAATATGAAAGTAGAATACTACTAATGAGTTATTAAAAAAATATTCTAATGTAAAACACATAAAGAAGCTTCTTTGTTTATATTTCATGGGCTTGTGCTGCAACTCACGAAATAATTAGTAATGCCACTGATGTTTATATGGATGGTGGGTGAGAGTTCAGAATGAAGGATATAAAAGACAAGATGTCTGGACCAAAAAAAAGGAAAAAAAACACAGAATAAAAGTAGTAGCCAAATGTGAGCGGGTAAGACCAAGTGAGACAGGAGTTGGAACTAACAGGAAAGCCTTAACAGGCTAAAGGCCATCAAACACATATTCCCTATTTCACATTTAAACCTGGAAACAACCTGCTTTAAGTGGCAGTGGGAACAGCTCACTGACCCATGTCTACCGGGGTCAAACAACTTGCCAAGCGACCCGTGTTAAAATCCCCTCGCCTCTATAACCCGCTAATTTATGTGATACCATTGAACACAAAATACTCTGCATCTCTGCCTCTTTTTCTACGTCTGCTTCTGTCTCCTTGAACCTGAGTTGGCCTCGGTAGATGGCCGCTCACTGAGACTGGTTCTGCTGGAGGTTCTGTGCTGTTAAAAGGGTGTTTTCCTCTCCACTGTCGCTGTAAGCATGCTTGGTGTGAGGGATTGCTGAAGAGTCAGTGAGTCCTGTTCGAAAAAAAAACAATGTTAACCCTCTAATTTCACTGGGAAAGACGCTTTAGAGTAGCTTAGGTGGTCGGCTCAGCGACCGGATCAATAGAGGATACATTCTAGGCTGGTGGCCGTCCTGAAAATAACCAAGTAGAATGATATCAAGGTTTCCAAGACTGGTAGGAAAAACAAGAAGACTAGCAGAGAAAGCCGATTGGCTCTGGAGAGCAGCAAGACCAGAAAGTTTCAGTCCAACTGAAATTTGAATTTTGAGCAAACCTTTAAAAGTTCAAAACAAGTAAAATTGAATTTGGGTAGTTTCCATTTGGTTTGAAGAGAATTGACTAAGCTTAATGTTGCCATACATTGCCGTTCACATTACGTCATCATGCATGGTTGTAATAAACAGCAGGTAGAGGCTGCAGTCTAATACTGACCACAGTACGTCTGCAGTCTAATGGAAGAAAGTTGTTCTTATGTAAAAGTCAGCTAGTAATAGCGATGTTTAGCACAGCTGATTCTTTTGATTGCACATCAGCAAAAGCCTGTTAATCTGCTAGCAATGAAAATCAGCTGTGCTGGAGCAGAGAAACCTCTAAAACCTGCAGGACAGCAATCCCCACGGACTGATAGCAGAACTATCTCATAAGTTTATCTTTTTTTTAGCGATAGGAGAATTTAACCCAATGTTTCCCATGAGCATTAACTTTTATGGTTCAAAACTTCAAAGAGGAAACTGAACCACATCAAGCCTCACACAGTAGGTTAATTCCTAAAAGTGACTATCAGGTCTAACAGATGATTGGCTATGAGTGGCCCTGTGTCAGATAAATATCTGCTTCTCATTGGTTAAAAGGCTAAACAAGGATCAGACTGCTGAAGTTATTGACAGAAAGTTAGCATCATACCAAAAACGCAAAACCTCTTCTAACTCTGAATTGACAAAAGAGCTTGAATTTATAACGCAAAGAAGTCGACACTTATTCTATGGCTCCTGCACACTTTGTCGATGCGATGTGGACGTAAACAGTCGAGGGAAAGATGCGATTGTACAGCATGCGAGTACGAATTAACGTAAAAGCAATAAACGTTTGGCAGGGAAGTCTTTAAAGAGGGCTTTTTTTTTCATGAAATTTTGTCGCCCCTGGATGCTAAAATAACTTCTGCAGAACTAAGCAAGGAGGACCATACTGTAAAACACCACCAGTCCTTCAGAAGTGTATATTGTGGCCGGAAAGTGGACCAGGAGATTTTTAGTGACTCGCCCACAGCTAAAGGGATGACCATAAAAACAGGTCTGCTGCACAGACAAGTCCCCAAAAGACTGAAGCTCTTAAAAAAGCTATAATTTTTGAGCAGTTGAATGGCTTTTTTTTTTACAATCTCTTTTGTTGTTTAATAAAAATAGTATTTTTTTTTTATTATGAATGTTACTTGTTAAAATATTTTTTTAACCTTAAAGTCCACACATGTTATGCTTTGTGGCATTTTGCACTCTAAAGATTTATCTCAGTGGTCACTTTTAAAACACCATAATGTATTGAGTAAATACAAATACTGTGAACCAATTCTTTTTCAATTTTTATATTTTTTCCTATTCAGCTTAGACTTAGACAGACTTTATTGTAATTTTTACTCACAGAGAGTATACAAAAAGACATTTCATTCAGTACAGCTCTGAAGACATCTTCATTTTTTAAAGGGCAGCTGTGATAAAGGTAAGCAGCAGAGATAATGTAAAGATACGACTGTATATTAGTTAGAGTTTTAACATTTATGGGTTTTTTTTGGAAATCCAATTTTATACAAAATTCAGCAGTCTAACTGCAGTGGGATCTGCTGGACCTGTATCGGATGCTTCAAAGGGCCGGATTTATCAAGATCCAATTTTGCGTGCAGTAATTTGCGCTCGCAAACTGGAATTTTGCGCGAGGGGCTGAACCATGGTTTGCGGGTGATTTAACAAGAGCGATTGCGTAACATTGGCAGGTGCAAAACTGTTGGAGACACCCTATTTAAATGATGGTTTTGCGCGTTTTGTGGTTTGCGGCAAAGTAGTTTGTGCAAACTAGTGCATCAAGAAATTTTAATCTTACAGTGACACCCCCACCCCCTCGATATGCTTATAAACGATATGTTTTGATGATCGTTTCCTCGTTCATTCCAAAAATATTCACACAGAGTGAAAAAATGCGTTCTCTGCGTCTCCTTGCTTCATTTCGATGTCTCCTTCTTGCGACAATAACCGCTGCCATGTGTGCGCAATTACGCATACAGACCATTTGCACCTTCTTTTGAAACGTGTTAAATATAGAGTCAGATACCGTTAGCAAAATTGCTTTCAGGTTTGATAAATCACTTTGCGAGTGCTAAATTAATATATTTACATGTTCTCCTCCCACAAGACGCACTTTTGCGCGTAAACGCCCCATATTGCATATTCATTGCAGAAAAAGTACTAAATGGATAAGAGGCGCTATTTAGCACGTTTTAAAGACCAAATCCTTTTAGCACGCTGTTGATAGATCAGTTTGTATATTTTTTAGCGTGCGCAGTGAAATAGCTCATGTTTTTATACACGCAAACCTTTGATAGATCCGGCCCAAAGTCTCTTTTCAGAGGGCAGCACAAGCATCTTCTTTAAAACCCTCAAAATTGTACTATAAATGAGACTTTACCAGATTCTTATGTACACCTTAGTAGTTTATTGATACACAGCATAATGTCCTCCTTTTTGGTGCTATAGAAAAGGCCACCCTAAGGCATGCGGCTACATGGGATCGTCTTCAAGTAAGTCTATTTAATCTTTACACGAGGGAAAACAAACCCAGACATGACAAAAAAAGACTTAAAGTATTATTGAATGACAGGTCCTTTCATTTTGTAGACATTTTAATTTCATTAATGCATGGTAGGTTTATGGCATAAACTGATCTGAAGAACCATCAATTGGCTCTGCTAAGATTAATAACATAAAGGTTATAAAGAACTGAAATAATCTACCTGGATATAGCTCTTTCAAACATCTTCCAGTAGTGAGAATGTTTAAATAGCTACATTTATTTTTTTAGGATTTTTATTTAAAAAGACAATAAAAAAAAAAGTGTGATAGACAATGGAAAGGAAATCAATTAAAACTGCAAGTTAACAGAAAAAAAAAAAAAAATATATATATATATATATATATATATATATATATATATATATATATATATATATATATATATATATATATATATATATATACATATATATATATATATATATATGTATATATATATATATTTTTTTTTTTTTTTCCCTGTTTCTTTTTCTTTTTTTACTGTATTTACATTTTGGTATTATCAATTACCAGCTGAGGCCGCTTCTTATGTTGTGCGAAAAAACACAAACATCCATCTTTAATCAGACCAGTGATCACAAAGCCAGAGATCTCATGCACAATAACCCCGTAAGCTGCTTCACTTCTGGTGTATTTTAATGGCTGATAGCATCCAGGCCTTTCAAGTATGTTGTAATATCACTCTGACTGATGAATAACCAGACATGTGCTTCTCTTACTTTTGTTGACTTGTCATCACGCATCACCTCATATCCTTCAATCAGCTTTTCATTTAATCTCTCCATCCCCCCTTTGTGTCGGCTCTAATCCCATTTCCCTTTCAACGCAGTTGTCCTTTCCTTTCATCTCCCCATCAAACAAAAAAGTTATTCTGCATGCTTTTACTTCCTCATCACTCGTACTGTAACCACAGTCTGGTCGTCATCTCACTCTCACATTAATCCCGGGTTAAAATTTGAGCCGATTCATCAAATATTTGCAACATCTAGTCACAGTTTTTATATTCAGAGGAACAATCAGTAGAATGAATATTTCTAAACTGGTGAGCTTTAGTAAGACTTAAAATTAGTTGAACATCATACCTGCTTTTCCCTGCATGGTCACAGGGCAGCTTTTAGATATTTAGCAAAAACAGTCACCACATATTGCAGAACAGATGTGCTTTTTATTAGTGTTAAGTTTCCTTGCAAACATTTGCCTCAAACATTCTAAAAATGTTACTGCTCATCTATCTGAAACAAAAACGTATTTTGCACTCCTTCCCACAGTCACAACAGCCGTTTGAGCCAATACATAACAAAACAAGGCAGGCCTGCATTCCGTGTGGAGTTGGTGAAAGAATAAACCAAACATTATAAGATCACCTAGGTAAAAGTGTGAAAAATGAAGTAATTAAGGCAACTGGAGACTAAACAACAAAATGGTAAAGTCACCTGTGTGCAACTACTATAGTTGTCCTGTTGGTGCAGACTTTGGCCAGTGATGCCTGGATGTTCCTCTCAGCTTGGGTATCAAGTGCAGAGGTAGCCTGAAGATAAAAATACTGCAGCATCAGAAAAAGGTCATGTTTGCATTTTTGTACATTTCTAAAGTATGTGTTGCACAGATGAGTTACATTGTGAACCTACTGAAAGTGAAGAAACTCATGAGAAGCCACCTTTAAATGTCAAACAGGCATCAGAGACACAAAAGATAATGAAAAGGAAAAATTTTGTCAAAAAGCAGAGTTCCTACCAACAAAAAAGGGAAAAAAATATGTATGCTGTTTGATCACTGTCAACAGATGTGATTTTTTTGCCAATATATATAAATATATATAGTATTCAACGCTCTTTTGTTTTACTAAACTCATCCAGTCACACTTTCTATGTACTATTTATTAGCCATCTATGTATGCTAAGATTAGGCAGAGATGATTTCTTGCTAAACTTAATGAAGCAGTAAAAATACAGCAGCCATAATCCAGAACTGATCGACAAGAAGATAGATAGATAGATAGATAGATAGATAGATAGATAGATAGATAGATAGATAGATAGATAGATAGATAGATAGATAGATAGATAGATAGATAGATAGATAGATAGATAGATAGATAGTTTTTAGTTGTTGTGCAATAATTTTTTTCAAAACTTGGAAAGTACTCACAAGTTGAAAATTGTTATCTACAGTATCTAGACTACCACCTAGATGGAACCTTACTTTTAAACGTGGAACATAAAGGGTGTGATATGAATTCTGCAGCTGGCCTTAAAAAAGGCTTAAATTCATCAAGTCCAGCATATTTACAAGAATCAAACTGCTGTTAATTCCTATGAACCTCAGTTATAGCAAAAAGGGACAAACTGAAACCTTAAGCTAAATCTTTCAAAAGTGCTTGAACAAAGTCATCTTGCACATTTAGCCTCTGTGTAGGTAATGATTCGAACAAAGATCCTAAGGAAATGGAACGTCATCTGACTGCCCCAGTTTTAGCAACAACACCTCTTTCACATTAGGTCATACACTAAAAATCACTTTACCTTTCTTTGTAATTTTTTCCCATGAGTAAGACTTTCTTGTTAATCTTTAATGCAGTTTTTATTGGGAAGGCATCAAAACATTTTACTACTTATCCAGACCATGTTTTAGTTTGTCAGGCCATTTAACTCTTTTTCAAATTTTTATAAATAAATAAAAAAATAAGAAAGAAAGTCCGAAAGAACAAAGCCAAATCAAGAGCTTGGCTTGTAGCATCTATAAGGGACACCGTCTATCTGACATCTTTTCCATTTTCTACTTGTCTGTTTCCTACCTTTAGCAACTCTCATCAAATATGAGTTTAGTGCTTTAAGGATAAACAGTAATACTGATAAAATGATCCGTTAAGTTAGACATGTACACTCCTCCATTAATCATTGATAGTGTTTCTTACTTATAGTATGAGGTACCTGTATAGGTTCTAATAAATATTCCTTTTTTTAAGATAAATCATCTTCATTGACTTCACAAAGTCAAATCAGCCAAGACTGGAGAAAAGAACTGAAAGATATCGGACAGTCTATAAAAATACAAATTTGAAATTGATAAATAGCACAAAATGTCTTGACTGGAGTAGAAGCCACAGCAACCAAGTGTTCGACCAAATAATTTTTTTGCAAGTCATAGATAAATCTCAAGACTTTGCCCTAAAATCCTGAATCAAGTTCTAAGTCAACACTGACTCTTCTGTCCTGTCCTGTGCAGATATTGTCAACAAGGGGGGTGAGGTTGCTTGAGGACCCAAAAGCAGAGATAAGTGAGGCAGAGATCAGTTCCTGTAGATTTAATGCAAACTGAGGCAAACATCCAAAACACAAAAATACTGAGAACCAAAAATCCAGAAAACTTTAGAGAAAACTGACGTGGAAAGAAACAAGGAAGCAACTAACAATCAACAAGGAATCAGAAAACAGTGACTGAACATGCGGTGTATAAATGGGAGACTGAACAAAGACCAGGCTAATCAGCAGAGATGGAGCAGGTGTGGATGGAAGAGACCAGAAGGGAGCTAGGGGAAAGGAGACAGGCACAAGGGGGCGACAGAGAGCAACCAAAGGGTGCTTAAACATTCATAAAATAGAAAATAAACCAAAGATCAACAAAACAGAATAACTGAAAACCAAAAACTCAGAATCCCAAAAGGGGACAACCATAACAGATATTGAATTACTGTCCCCTGGATTGTTGACATATTGAAGGAGGAAAGTAACCTACAGTATTAGGATTTATAGAGCACCTTTAAAGTAGGTCTGTCCAGCTCAGATCCCCATCAACTCTTATATCGATTGGTTTGTGAGAGATCCCCCCTTTGCCTGTGACTTCTGCTGCCTTACCTCATCAAGCAAGATAATCTGTGGTTTCTTCAGGATTGTTCGAGCAATGGCAACTCTCTGCTTCTCCCCACCGCTGAGCTTCAGACCACGCTCTCCCACCAAAGTGTCATACCCTGTGGGCAGCATTTTCATAATTGTTGGTAGCCTCAAAGAATGCAAAACATGCATATAGGTCAGTGATGTGCAATCTAAGTAGGCAGCTTAATCTAGATCTGATAGATCTTTTATATCTACGGAGAAAAGCCTGACCCAGTGGCAGCTCCAGTATCTTGCTGTGTATATCTGCAGCCATGGCAGCTTTCTGCACCTCCTGGTCGCTTGCAGTAACTTGGCTGTAGTGAATGTTGTTACGGATGGTGTCATTGAAAAGGACAATATCTTGGGGAACAACACCGCTGTACGATCTCAGAGAAGACTGACGCACCTAAATAGAAGGGGAAATAAATATAAATAGCTGGTTTTATTCAAACTAAATGCTTACCTGGGTTTCTCTAATGTATTATTAAGTAATGCTTCTTTAATAAAAAACATTTATGCTGTGTTTGTGCTGAAACGACTGTTATACTTGGAAATGCTGAATAACGACATGGAACTTCTCCTTCTTGGGAGCATACATCTACATAAATGTTGAATTGCTTAATTCCTGCTATACTATATAATGCATGTTCCCTCAGGTCACAGACTGCACACACATCCCGAATCTCTCCCCATTCCCATGTCTCCTGCAAGTTTCTACATTATGGGCTCATTTGCGGTGGATTTGTCTTCAAGTCTCTGTCAACTTCTCTTTTTTCTCAACATTGCAATTTTTCCAGTAGATTTCAACTTTATAGCATCGTTTCATTTAGTGTGTGCATTTTGTTTAGCATTACATGCTTACACATGTAATGTGTAAACTTTAAACAGGAGTTTTCAGGAGTTGTAGGTATGTATGTAGGCAGGTATGTCCTATGTTAATCCAGTTGTATCCCTCATCCAATGTTACTCTGCCCTTTGTATACAAAATCATAAAGTTAGGGCATTCGATAACTTCCAAGGTCATGGCCTGAAAACATAAAGTCTGGTTTGAAGGAATGCAGTTGGTCTCTACAAACATTTGAGAATAATAGGTCACCCTTTAGAACTAAGTGAATTCTGTGCTGGTACAATAACAATAGGCCACTTGTTAAACAGCTTGAGTAATAAAAATGTCCTCCCTATCAAATATCACATAATAAACAGAAAATGGTGGCACAATGTGATTTGCAAAACGAGCAACTCCACCATGAAGTGTATGCTAACGCACTATAAATGTTTTATGTGTAAAAAGTACAAAAAGCTGACAACTAGCTAAGCATAATGGAACTGAACCAGACCAAACTACCAACTTGCAACTAGACCCGTTGTAAAGATACAAACAAAATGGGCAGATCGATTAAGACTTGATCATAATATAGCAAGTAGGTGATGAATCTTGTTTGTCAGGATAAGTGCTGTTTAAATAGTGCTGGCAGTAACATTAAGACTTGGAGGCAGTAACAAAGTACGAAAAAGAGTCTGTTGGGTTGGGCAGTTAATTGCATTTGCAATTTAAGAAAAAATTTATTTCAATTCAATTCAGTTTATTTATATAGCGCCAATTCACGACACGTGATCTCAAGGTACTTTACAGTTCAACTAGATCATACAAAATATAAAAAATATTCAAAGTTTTCTGTCCAAGGAAGACCAGTTGATTGCATCAACTCATTGACTCAAAGGCAATCCCTCGACTTAGCATGCATGTAGTGACAGTGGAGAGTAATATCTCTAAACTCCGTCCCTCCCTATCCCTCCCTGCTGCAGAGAAGCTTGTCCACGCCTTCGTCTCTTCCAGGCTGGATTACTGCAACGCTCTCCTCGTCGGGATCTCTGGCAGGAGCCTTCAGAAGCTCCAGTATGTACAGAACAGCGCTGCCAGGGTCCTGATGAGGGTGAGGAAACACCAGCACATCACTCCCATCCTTCACACTTTACACTGGCTGCCCATTCACGCCCGTATAGAGTACAAGATTCTTCTGCACACCCATCACTGTGTGCACGGTGCGGCCCCCATGTATCTCACTGAACTGCTCACACCACACACCTCTTCCCGGACCCGGTCAGGCCAACAGCACCGTCTGGCCCCACCCAGGACACGGCTAAAAACAATGGGCGACAGGGCCTTCGAAGCCGCAGCTCCCCGTCTGTGGAATGCCCTCCCAGACCACCTTAGGGCCCCACAGACGGTGGATTGTTTTAAGAAAGGACTAAAAACTTTCCTTTTTAGAAATTCCTACAATTGTTGATTTTAGATTTTCTTTAATAGGCTACGTATGCCTTTTAATGTATTGATTTTAATGACTGTCTTTTTACTCTGTTTTTAATGTTATGGTCTTTTAAACTTGTTTTGTAGCACTTTGAGATTTGAAATCAAATGTAAAGTGCATGATAAATAAAATTCATTAGAGGAAAAACTCCCTTTTAACAGGAAGAAAAGTCCAGCAGAACCAGACTCAGTGTGGGCTGCCATCTGCCGAGGCCAATTGGGGTTCAAATTTCAAATCATTGAGGCACTCATATATGGTCATGTTTCATTAGACAACATTTTTTCTCATTCTAGTTCTTTTGGTGGCGGTAATATGTTTAAAGTAGGGTGACCAAACGTCCGTATTTCCCGGGACATATCCGTATTTCACATCCTGTCCCGGGCGTCCCGGGCTTTTTTTAGAAAGTGAGGAAATGTCCTGATTTTTTTAAATTACCTTAATTGGACCATTAAATTTACAGGCACTAGGGCGCTGCGTGTGACGTAATCCCTGAGCCGCGTCAGTGCGGGCAGCCCTGTTCTTAATCAGAATATAGATTGCGTGGCTGTCAGTACGCCAACAACATGCAAAAGCGCAAATGTATGTTTACCGACGATTTACAAAAAGAGTTTCCCCGCTTTAAGAGCGGGTCGAGACAAATGGGAGGCCTTGTGCACAGTGTGCAAAGCAGGCACATATGTCTCGGTGTCCAATGGAGGTGCAAGGAATCTGAAAAGCCACCTGGACACCGAAAGTAGAGATAGTCTATTGATATGTTTGTTTGTTTTTGGTACATTTTGGAACGTTTTTAGCTCATTTGTTAATTTATTTTTTTCCATTAGCCTACAGAACAGACATCATTTCGTTCATTGCTGAGGCTGAGTATCATGTGTTATTGGGAGTTGAGAGTTATTGTTAACTTTTACTGTTAAGTGAGGGATGTTTATATGATACATTATTTCTTTCATTGTGCTATTCATTCATTACAGGAATTGTTAAGCATTTTTAAGAGATCCCAAAAACTAACTGACTAAAGTTAATTTGGGAACAAGTGTTTTGGAGTACATAATAAAAGTCATTTGAAAAAAAAAAAAAAAAACCCACATGGATTAAATTTAAAGGAAAATGAAAATGATTACTGCAACTAATTTGTCTTCCTCCTACCATTAGTTGTAGCTGGGGGTGTCCGATATCCTCCGAAACTCATCTTTGAGACAAAACACCAAACATAGTCTTTGTTTTTCTTGCCAAAACACTAACTTGATGAAGTGCAACCCAAATCATTTATCTGATTTATTCACCACCTCCTCCTCCTCCTCCTCCTCCTCCTCCTCCTCCTCCTCCTCCTCCTCCTCCTCCTCCTCCTCCTCCTCCTCCTCCTCCTCCTCCTCCTCCTATTAGATTAAACCAGTAAACTTATATTCTGGATGATAGACTAAGACTTAGACAACTTTTATTGTTGTTTTGTATACACAGAGTGTATATAAAACAAAACTTCCTTTCCTTAATTTTCTTATTTTTATAGCTAATGTTAACTGTGTCAAATTTAACTTTGCATCTTGAACAACCGTTTGTTTTGGTAAGTTGCAGACAACAAGTTGGAGCAGAATCCAGAGTCCAAGAAATTAATTTTCTGGATGAAACAAATTGTTTTGATCGGTTTCATTTTTTTAGGCCATAAAGAGAATTAACTTAAATGACAGAAAACTCACGAGTCTTTTTCTAAAAACGATAGTAGAGGCAATTGCAAAAAGAATGTAAGAAGTAGAAGTGACTGTACCTGGAGGTGTGACACAAAGCTGTCCTGTATATTCGTGCCCTTTCTCACAGTGCATTTAAAATGCTAATTTCAATTGTTTCCTTAGTTTCTATTAATCAGGTTGTTGGTTAGCTTCATGTCCCAAAAAAAGCTGATATACATTTTTTGACAGTCTTCCCCCTGATAAGAGGCGACTTAAAGTCACTATTAAGGACTGGAAAAAGCTGGAGGACACTTCTGCAGAACAATATTAGAGATGTGTGGACAAGTTTATACTTCAAGAATAATAAGGATGAAATAGATTGAAAACTGGACAGAGATAATGAATTAAACACGACTGTCAATAAGTTCAGATCACAAACCAGCTTAGCATCCTTCTCTCTTGTTCTAAATACCAATAGGGTTTGATTTTCAGAAGAATTGTGAGTCCCAAAACACATCCAAATATGTTTGTATTTGTAGAGTAGATCCTCCAAGAAAATCCAAAGTGATTTGAGTTTATAACTCAGCAGAGAGCGTGTGCAAATCCTTTTTTTTTGCCTGTTTACCTTCAGCAATAGGTAAATGATATTCTGACCAAACTGTACAAATTTATGGGTGTAGAATATACAAATGTCAACACTTGCTCAGTACTTAGCATCTTTCCAAATCTGAAACTCAACTTTGGCTGCAGCTTTCGCTGCAAAAGAGATATTGGTAGAATGCCAGAGGATGGCGAGAGATTCAGTGCAACTAAACTTTCATCATTGGTACACTTCAACTTCCACCAAAATTTTAGAAATAAATTCTTGAAAAATCCTACAATGTGATTTCCTCGATTTTTTTTTTCTCATTCGGTCTGCCGTAGTCGAAGTGTACCTATGATGAAAATTACAGACCTCTCTCATTATTCTAAGTAGGATAACTTGCACAACCAGTGGCTGAGTAAATACTTTTTGGGCCCACTGTATATATATATATATATATACATACATACATACTGTTGGGATCTGGGGATGTACCACCTTCCTCCAACAGAGTGCGCCGTGGGTCTCCTGGGCTGGAGCCCTCCAGCACACCTGAGACGCATCTACTCATCAGGAGACCTTCCCTTCATAAGCAGCTGCCAGACCTTCCTTCAACGCCGCAGTGTTGACCTTAGTTTGGTTAGCAACCTGAGCCTCTGTTACCTGAAAGAATCTAAGTTGTCTCAAAGTGAGAAAACTGGTTCTAACCTTCCTCTGTCTTTGCTCACAGGAAACCTGTCTCAAGCCTGAAGCTCTGGGTGAGCTTAACCTGCCTTCCAGCCCTGGTGAGCCAAACCTGAAGATTCCTATTTGGATTTCCCCTGCTGCTCTCTGTGAAAAGCTGGAAACTCTG